GCCTTCGTTATTCCATGGACAGGGTCCCTGTATTATGCCTTCCCGCCTTTGCCCCTTCTCAACCGTGCCGTGGCAAAGGCTCAGGCGGAAAGTGCAAACATCATAATAGTAGCACCTTTCTGGCCCCGCAGGCCATGGTTCCCAAACCTGTGGGCATTAGCAAAGGGACAGTTCTATGTGTTCCCAGACTGCAGGAACCTACTGTCTGGGCTTCTCCCGTCCGATCCGGGAATTCCGGCCCTCAAGCTGACAGCGTGGAGGTGCTGCCCCGCTCAGTCTACTGCCCTGAGGTGCAGGACATACTGTTAGCCGCCCGTAAACCGTCAACACGGCGTTCTTACGAGGCAAAGTTCAAATGTTTTTCTACCTGGATGTCGGGTAGGGGACTCGATCCCATTACATGTGGGTTGCCTGTAATACTGGAGTTTTTGACTCACCTTAAATCGGAAGGTTTATCTAACTCCTCCATTAAGGTATACTTAGCTGCCATTTCAGCATACCATGTACCTGTAAGGGGACTGTCTATTTTTGCCTCTGATGATGCTAAGAGGTTTCTCCGGGGTCTCAATAATTTGTATCCCCCATCCCAATTACCACTGTCTCTTTGGAGTCTGTCTGTGGTTTTATCTCAATTGGTACATAAACGGTTTGAACCCCTAGCTGCGTGTGAGCTTTCATTTTTATCTTACAAGGTAGCATTTTTAGCCGCCATTATGTCCACAAGGCGAGTTGGGGAATTGGCGTCGCTGTCCACAGAGTCACCATTCCTCAGATTTCATAATGACAGGGTAGTAATCCGCCCACGACTGGATTTTCTACCCAAGGTGGTATCCAGATTCCATATGTCACAAGATGTGGTGTTGCCTGTATTTTTTCCAAACCACTCTTCGGATGCAGAGCACACCTTACGTTCACTCGATGTCAGGCGTGCGTTGCTTTTCTATCTACACAGAACGCAGCCTTTTCGTAAAGTGTCTGCTTTATTTGTATGCTTTGGTGGACCGAAACAGGGTACAGCTGCCTCGTCGCAGACTATTTCCCGCTGGCTTTGCAAAGCTATACAATTGGCGTATGAAGGGGCGGGTAAACAATGCCCCTTGGTGTTGTCTGCACACTCGACCTGGGCCCAAGCAGCGTCGGCGGCGTTTCAGGCAGGATTGCCCCTGCTGGAGTTGTGCAGAGCGGCCACGTGGTGGACGCCTTCGACGTTCGTCAAGCACTATGCGATGGACGTTGATGCGAGGAGGGATGCAGCGATGGGCACGGCTGTGCTGCAGTCGATTTTCCGCTGAAGTCTCCCACTCCCTCCTCCCAAGTGAGTTAAACTTGCTATTCTCCCATGTGGGACTGCACAGAAGCCTTGAAAATGAAAACGGTGTTTGCTTTCCTGTAACCGTTGTTCATTGAGAGTGGCTTCTGTGCAGGCACACACCCCTCCCTCCCTCCCTCCTTCCCCGCTGTGGGAGTCTTCTGCTCTAATAATGCGGCAGAAGGAGGACTGAGGGGGGGAGAGGGCAGGCTCCGCCCAGGTCAGGTGGTAATTTGGGCGGGAAACCGCCTCCTGTACGCAGCCTGGCCCTCTTGGGCTGAAAATTCGACAAATATGCTCGCTAGCTCCTCCCAGTGGTAGGCCTGCAGTACTGCAGACCCACGTGTGCCTGCACAAAAGCCACTCTCAATGAACAACGGTTACAGGTAAGCAACCACCGTTTTCCTTCAGTTACGTTAGTTAGGGACATGCCAAGTCACGGCAAGATGGATCGAGGGTGGCCATTTTCCATCTTTTGCTGAGTCCTGCCACCTGTGGACCGTCTGAAATGTGCGTAGGATTCTTTTACTAAATCTTCACAACTGGGATGTTGGAAGTCTGACTTCTGCACCCCACGAGTGCCGTGTCCTGTCCTTCGCCACGTCACCAAAGGCACAGAAAGGGGAGGGGGCTGGTTGAGTCCTTGATCCCCAAGGACATCCGCTCGTTCCTGCCGGAGCGCCTCCAAGCATGGTGGGGAAAGCAGCGAGGAAGTGGAGCCAGTGTGGAGTTCCGGAGGCCGAGAGAGCTGGGGTCCCACTCCCCACAGCTGGTTATGCTCAACCAAGTGGGGGTGGGGTGGCAACCAGAGAAGGGGGCTAACCTGGGAACAGGGAAGTACGGTGGCTTCAGCCTCCTGATGAAGGAGCCCAGTGCCCGGGGAGGAGGAGGAGGAGATTGGCTCTACATCCCATGGTCCTTCACTACCCCCGGAGGAGGAGTCTCAGAGCGGCTGACAAACTCCTCTCCCTTCCCCTCCCCACAACAGACAGACACCCCTGTGAGCTGTGTTCCCTCTAAGCTGAGTTAGTGTGAGCAGGCTCACAGTTTTTTAGCCTCCGGCTCACACCTTTTTGTCTGAGCTCAGGAAGGATGGGGCTCCAGAGCAGACTAATTTATGCAGCAGCCAAATCGCTCGCTCACCACTTGAATGCCAAGAGCTCACAAAGTAGAATTTCTGCTCACAGGACTCCACAGCTTAGAGGGAACATTACCTGTGAGGGAGGTGGGGCTGAGAGAGCTCTGAGAGAAACGGCTCTTTTTTTCAGGAACAGCTCTTATCAGAACTATGGCTTGCCCAAGGTCATCCAGCCAGGATTGCAAGTGGAGGAGTGGGGAATCAAACCCGGTTCTCCCAGATTAGAGTCCGCGCACTTAACCATGACACCAAACTGTGTAGAGACTATCTGCATAGCTGGTATTGCTTTAATTGTCCGTTTTGTTTCCTTAAGCCTCAAGGACTGTAGAGGCCATATAGACCCCAGGAGGCCCTGGGTCAGGCGTACACACAGAGCCTTCTCGGTCTGCCTCCCAGCCGCTCTCAAGCACCGGGGGCCCAGGGGGACCAACAAAGCCAGTGCCCTGCCAAGCTGGCATTCTGCAAGTGGTGGAAGAAGCTCCATCTAACCTGAGAAGTGTCTTCCGTGGGCCGCTTTGTGGCTCATTCAGACCACTCAGGCTGTTTGTATTCTTCACGGTAGCGTTCTTTTTTCCTTCAAATGCAACGTTCAAGACTAAGCGTCTTCCAGAACTCCCCAGGTGTGCAGTGTCTCTTCATTAATTGGTAGTTCTGACTGGTGGGTGGGGGTGGGGGGAAACAACAACAATCTCTGCCATTTGTTCCATTATCATCATCTCTGCAAAATAGACTGGAAGCCATCCTGAAGCTGAAGGTTTTTAACAAGTTCACTCAGGGAGAAAGACCCCCTCCATTACAAACAATTTTTTCATAGAAATTATGCAGACAGCAGTGGAGCGCTGGGGGAAATTTCTAGCTTCTGTGCAGCTTGAAAGGGTTTCTCTGTCTCTTTGCTCCAGGAACACCACACATGTCTTGGGTGCTGTTTGTAAGACAGCCGTTATCCGTAGTGCCCCCCGTTCCCATTTTCTCCCACTCTGGGTCTTCCCAATACGATGGTCTCACTAGTGGTTCCTCCGCTTGTGGAGACTTCACACCCCAGATGTGTCTTGATGTCCCGTGAGGAGGAGGAGGCTCCAGAACCTTCCCAGACTTCCGTTCCCAAGATTCCCCCCTCCTGCCTGCACCCGACACATCGTCCCCGGAGTGCTCTGGCTACAGAGGCTTCTTTAGCCTCTCCTCCTCAAGAGAGTGGGTGGGGTCCCATCCCATGAGCTCATGTAGAAAGTTTTCCAAAGACAGTGTGGAATCAAGCAAGTAAATTCTTTGTATTTATTCAGGTTTATGTTCAAATTGGCTAAAATGTCGAAGTTGCTACTTGGTTTAGACTGATTTATAGTCGTCCTTACCTAAATGCATTCCCCTGTGGGACCGTCTCTGCTGAACCATGTCTGTTTACATATAACTCTCATGAGATCAACACAAGAAGGGGTCTTAGAACTCTAATAAGGGAGCCTTGGGGTCTATCAGGTTAGCACCAGTTCTTAATTCTAGGTTGGACAGTTTAGTTTGGGGTAGCCATGATTTCATGCTCCCCTTTCTTAGTCCTTCCTTCAGAGAGATGTGCCACCTTCAACACAGTTGTATTCAGGACTGATTCCAAGAGTCTGTGTGTTCCATAGAAACCAAGAGATTAATTAGTTACCTGAGCTACTCCCAAGGAAATAAAAGAGAGCTCTTTCCTTAGGATCCGGGGCCTTGTTTTGCCACTCTTTTGCTCCAAGTAGAAGCGCCTGAAGGAAAAGGGGTGGACAAAGTCCCATATAAATCATGAACATGGTGTTCTGAAGCATGTGCAGATTTCTGCAAATCCAGTCTCTCTCTTATTGTCTTCTGTCAGTCAAATGAAAGGGAAGGTTTCCAGAACCATCACAGGCAGATGGACTAAGACATGCCCCTTCACTGAATGAGGTCTGGTGGCTTCTTGTACCCCCAAGAATTATAGTGCGCCCCCCCCCCAGTCAGGATGGTTGCAGCTTCTCAGCACTGAGTTCACTGCTCTGCAGGAAGAATTCTACGTGATGGTCTGTCGCATCATTTGTGATGCACTCCTAGTCAGAGACTTGTGCCGCCTTTGATGTGCTGATTGGGAAGTGGGTGCGTGGGCTAATATCTCTCCTTAGCTTGAGCAGCATTGGCCTTTCCAACATCCCAGTGTCACTATCGCCTCTGCCCCCCCCCCCCAGTCGTGGGGAAGGGAGAACTTCCTGCCTCACACAGGTTATATCCTGCTGCTTCCAGGATACGTTTGTGGAGTTAGCCGCCTGTGGGCTCCTGGGGTTTCTGTGAGGTGCAGTTCAGGCTGTGTGGTTTGTCCTGTATTCTCTTCTGTGTGTGTGGTTTTCCTTGGATACTTTTTTTTTAAGTGATCCAGCGAGAGCCTAATGACATTGTTCAGGAGCTCTGGGGCCGCAGCACGACTTCCTCTGGCCACAAGGAGCAGCGTCGTTTAATCTGCCAGAGCAAGCCCTGCCTGTTTGGAAGGCAGGGGGAAGAGCGGCTCCCCGCCAGGCCGTTCTGCAGGTCCTCAGCAAGGCCCGCATTTCTTTCCAGATGCTGACACAGCTGCTTCTGGAGCAGGGACCAGCAGGCGTAGGATCCAGTGCTTTCCTGGAGATCCGAGACCTGGCCCGGCGGTTCTCACTCCTCTTTGGGCTGCATCGGCTGCAGAACCGCTCCGCCCTCGTCCAGCTGCACAGGTGAGGCTGCCTCCTCCTCCTCCTCCTGCGGGAAGGGGGTGGATGATGGACCAGTGCCGGGGAGGGACAGAGCCGTGCAAAGGCTTGGTGACGAAGTGCTTGCCGGATCTCTTCTCTATTCAGGGATGGGATAAAGTTTGCATTCCAGGAACCAGCATCTCCCAGTTCCAAGCTGGGACTCGTCAACTTGCCATTGCTGGAGTTGCTGAGTGAATTTTCCCCACGGCTGCTGCATCCCGACAAAGCCTTGCTGTAAGTGTCCTGATGAAGAAGGGCCAGAGTGGCGCACCCCCCAACAAAAAAAAACACACCACTTTTAGCTTAGCTTAGCTTTCTTTTCTTTTTTTTGTCTTTTGGTGGAGTTAATTTATAATTTATGTCTCCCTGCTTCTCACCACCCTGGACAACTTTGTGTCATCTGAAGCCTTAGCCCCTTCACTGCTTACTCCCAACTCCAAATCATCAATGAACAAGTTAAAAAGCACTGGACCCAGTAAACCGAGCCCTGCAGTACCCTATGGCTAACATAAGAACGCAAGAGAAGCCAATGTTGGATCAGGCCAATGGCCCACCCAGTCCAACACTCTGTCACACTGGGGCCAGAAATACCAGGGGCCATCAGGAGGTCCAGCAGTGGGGCTGGGACACCAGGAGCCCCCAGCCCACTGTTGATCCCCCCCCCAAAGCACCAAGAAGACAGCATCCCTTCCCTCAGACCGAGAGTTCCTATCTATACCTTGTGGCTCATAGCCACCGATGGACCTCTGCTCCATATGCTTATCCAATTCCCTCTTGGAACCATCCACACTTGTAGCCAGGGCTATTTTTGGCCAGGAATGCACAGGAACGGAGTTCCGGCTGGCTCCTGAGTTGGCCACGCCCAGCAGGAACTCATTGACATAATAGGCCACACCTAGCAGCAGGAACTCATTAGGATTGGCTGAGAAGACCCTGATGCTGGGAAAGGTTGAAGGTCAAAGAAGACGGGGACGGCAAAGGATGAGATGGTTAGACAGTGTGATCGATGCAACGAGCATGAAATTGAGCCAACTTCAGAGGACAGCAGAAGACAGGAGGGCCTGGCGTGACCTGGTCCATGGGGTCGCAAAGAGTTGGACTCGACTGTGCGACTGAACAACAACAACAAACAACATTAGGGGTGTGTGGTCTAACATGCAAAGGAGTTCCTGCTACAAAAAAAGCCCTGGGTCTTGACAACAAACAAGGTAAACAGAATAAGAAGCAAAAGGTGGGTGTGGCTGGATGAGCACGCTTCTGGTAACACAGGTGTGTGGCCTCATAGGCTAATGAGCTGTGCTGTCAGGGGTGTGGCCTAATATGTTAATATGTTTCTGCTGTTGGGTGTGGCCAATTATGCTAATGAGTTCCTGCTGGGCTTTTTCTACAAAAAAGCCCTGCTTGTAGCCACCACCTCCTGTGGCAGTGAATTCCATGTGTGAATCACTCTTTGGGTGAAGAAGGACTTCCTTTTATCCATTCTAACCCGACCACTCAGCCATTTCATTGAGTGCCCACAAGGAGTTCTTGTATTGTGAGAAAGGGAGAAAAGTACCTCTTTCTCTAACTGCTCTGTCCCGTGCATCATCTTGGAAACCTCAATCATGTCACCTCTCAGCCGTCGTTTCTCCAACCTAAAGAGCCCCAAGCGCTTTAACCTTTCTTCATAGGGAAAGTGTTCCAACCCTTTTATCATTTGAGTTGCCCTTTTCTGCACTTTTTCCAAAGCTATAATATCCTTTTTAAGGTGTGGTGACCAGAACTGTACACGGTATTCCAAATGAGGTTGCACCATTGATTTATACAGGGGCATTATGATATTGGCTGATATGTTTTCCGTACCCTCCCTAATAATCCCCAGCATAGTATTGGCCTTTTTTATTGCAGTTACACACTGTCTCGACATTTTCAGTGAGTTATCTACTACGACTCCAAGATCTCTCTCTTGGTCAGTCTTTGCCAGTGTATTTATAGTTAGGATTTTTGGCTCCAATGTGCATCATCTTGCACTTGGTCACATTGAATCCCATTTGCCACTTGGCCATCCTTGACAGATCCCTTTGGATTGCCTCACAATCCTCACTGGTTCTCACCACCCTGAACAACTTTGTATCATCTGCAAATTTAGCCACTTCACTGCTTACTCACAACTCCAAATCATTAATGAACAAGTTAATAAGCATTGGACCCAGTACTGATCCCTGCGGTACCCCACTGCTTACTACCCTCCACTGAGAAAATTTCCCATTTATACTCACACTGTTTCCTATTAATCAGCCAGTTTCCTATTAATCAGCCAGGCTAAGAGATCCTTTATTAACGGCATCGGGTAGGCAGTAGTTGAAGAAACAGCATTTAGACCCCAGTAATCCGTGCATAGCTGCAACCCCCCATCCTTTCTCTTCCGAAACAACACTGAAGCCACAAACAGTGAGGACGCTGGCTGGATGAACCCTTTCACCAAGTTCTTATCAATGAACTTGCGCAGTTCTTCCTTCTCACTTGGGCTCATGGAATACAATTTCCCTTTAGGCAGTTTATGCCCCGGCAGCAGTTCAGTGCTACAATCCAAATGCTGGTGTGTGTGGGGGTAACTCGTCAGCTTCCTCCTCCTCGAACACCTGTGCCAAGTCCTGATACTCTGGGGGGATGGCCTCCACCTCCTCTTGGGCCAGGCAAGCTCGGACCACCTGACTATCCGGGAGCTTACCCCAATTATTGTCCCATTTATGAGTTTGGCACCTCGAGGAAATAAATTGAACTCTCCCTTCATCCCAGAGGATATATGGGTCGTGTCCATGGAGCCAGGGGCTTCTGAGTACGAACAGGAATTGGACTGTTGGAGTGATCATAAATGACCGTTCCTCCCAATGGTCTCCCACCCCCATGCACAATGGCACAGTCTCGAACTTACAGGGCTCCTTCATACTAGACCCATCCATCTGGGTAAAAATCAGCGGCTTGGCTAGCTGCACCACTGGGACTTCCAACCCCATGACAAGAGAAGGGTTGATCAAGTCCTGACCACACCCCAAGTCTATGAGGGCCCGGACCCTATTGTGGGCCCCATGTCTGGGTTCATGATTGTCATAGTCAGAAAAAACAGGGGGGGGGGTAAATGGCTCACCGGGTTATGCACCTCTGGGCTTGGGTCCTGCTGCTCTGTGCCACTTACAACAGGACCTGGCCATTTCCCACTGGCTCGGTGGTGTCTTCTCCGCTGGGATTCGCGTCTCTCTCCTCAACAGCAGCTTACAGGGCTTGCTGAAACTTTGCCTTGTTAGGCCCCTTTTCCACCAAGGTGGGGCCTCGTCGCTTCCTGGCATCTGTCTTTACTGTGGCATTGCGATGCTGGGGGGGGGGAGGCCTGTCTCCAGTCACAGCACTATCGAGCCAGAGGGTGTTCAGTTGACACTCCGTGTCTTTGGCTTCCCGCATCCAAGCTATCCACCGTCCGGAGAACCGTCTCCCAGATTTCTGGGTCCAAACCAGTGCGATACTGCTCGGCCAGGGCTTCATCAGACCATCCCTGGATTTTGGCAGCCTGCAGTCTGAACTTGGTTGAGTACTCCCAGACAGTCTTCATCCCCTGTTGGAACGTGTGTAAGAATTCCCGGGCTTTGGCACTTGCATTGCAATCCTCAAATTGTGCCTGCAAGGCCCGCATAAAATTGTCCATGCTCCTCAGCTGGCCATCCCGGTTGTAGATGCTGACATACCATGCCACCACTCCCCCACATAGCTGGGATGAAATATAGTCCACCCAGCCCTCTTCATTTGGGAACAAGTGGCCCCAGTTTGCCATGAATTTCAGAGTCTTTACCACGAACAACAGGAGGGCTTCCGGGTCTCCATCAAATGTCACATCCAATGGCTCCTTTGGGCGATACAGCTCTCCCCCCCCGTCATCTGGACCGGGGGAGCCTGGGGAATGGGCAATGGCCGACCCCGGAGCTCAAGCAGCTGTCCAGGCAGTTGGGGTGGAGCTTGCACCACTTTCTGTTGGGTTAGCTCCTGGTGCACAGCATCTGCCACCATCTGGGGCACCAACCACATCCTGTCCTCCACCATTTGGACAACGATGTCTTGGTCCCACTCCAGAAGCTCCAACCAGCCTTCCACGAACTCCATCCAGCTCAGGTGGGACTCAGTCACTTCTTCACCCATTGGTTCTAGCGCATTCCACTGCCTTTTGAAATGGCTGCTGCGCTGTGCTCCCCTAGTGAGCCTCCACCTCTGGTGAGTAGTCGCCGGAGTGACAGGCTCCTTGTCTCCATTCATCTTTGCCTGAGAGATACGGGTCGAGGGGTATGCTAGGATTCCTGACAAAATGTCAGGTAAATAGAGCAGTTGCAGTCCACAATGATTCATAAGAATAGATTGCTTTAAGTCACTATTAATACACTTTCATAGTCATTGTCAGGAATGAAACTCAAAGCCAAGCACGTACAGATATAGACAGTTCAAACAAAAAGGGTTAGCCAATGAATACAGTTTGCACTCAGCAGAAAGTCGAGCGGGAGAAAACCAAGGTGGGGGATAGCCTTTCAGCCATTTGGTTCACACCAGCCAGATTGGGAACGGCCCCAGCAGCAGTTCTCTCAGTCTTATCTATACAAAGGCAGCAAAAACATTCCAAGGTCAAAACAAGAGGTAAAGCGCACAGGGAGGGTGAGAATAGAGAAATGCAGGCTATTCCCCCCCCCTCCCGTCATACTGTAGGCAGGTTACACAGACACTCTGCCACCTTTTTGATATTAAGTGCCAGCAGCCTGGTTCCTTCTCGGGATAAGTGGAGACCGTCTCGCCTGTACAGCTCCCTCTTGTTCCAAAAAGCATCCCAGTGCCTAACACTGAGACTCCTGATCTGTGCCTGTCTCTCCGGCCCTACGCGTGGAACAGGTAGCACTTCTGAGAAGGCTATCTTGGAGGTCCCGGCCTTGAGTTTCCTGCCCAGCAGCCTAAATTTTTCCTCCAGGACTTCACAACTGCATTTCCCCACATCATTGGTGCCGACATGCACCATGACCACTGGCTCCTCCCCAGCACTATCTACTAGCCTATCTAAAACATGCGTAATGTCTGCTACCTTTGCACCACGCAGGCAAGTCACCATACGGTCAGTACACGGTTTCGCCACCCAGCTGTCTACCTGCCTAAGGATCAAATCACCAACTACCAAGAGCCTCCCTCCCACCCTCCCCAGGGATGGTTCCTTGGTACGAAAGGATACCCGTTCACCAGCTGAAGAAGAGGTCCCGTCTGAGGGCACATTCCCCTTATCCTCAGCATGGTGCCCTGTTTCCCCTTGACCCTCATGCTCCCTGATGGCAGTGGAGCTGCCAGATCCAGAGTGGGACATATCTAACAAGTCCCTGAGAGTCCCCGAGAGTCTTCTCCGCGTGCCTAACTAACTGTCTCTGCTTCTCCAGGTCAGCCACCTTGGCCTCAAGGGAGCAAACTCGTTCCTTGCACTGAGCACACACCCAAGACTTCCGCCCAGTGGGCAGATAGTCATATATGTGACACTCGGTGCAAAACACTGAATAGCCCCCAACCCCCTGCTGGCATTCTGGCTTCATAATTGCATTTAAAATAATTAAATATAATCCCCCTTTTAAAACCCTTTTGTGTTTATGTTGTTCTCCTTGTCGAAGTCTACTTACCTTACTGCACGAGAAGACTCTGCAACAACTCTAATCCCTTCCTCACACTCCGAAACACAGTCCTCCCACACAATTGTTGTTCAGTCGCACAGTCAAGTACGACTCTTCGTGACCCCGTGGACCAGATCCCGCCAGGCCCTCCTGTCTTCCGCCGTCCTCTGAAGTTGGCTCAATTTCATGTTCGTTGCATCGATGACACTGTCTGACCATCTCATCCTTTGCCGTCCCCGTCTTCTTTGACCTTCCATCTTTCCCAGCATCAGGGTCTTCTTCTCCAGTGAGTGCTCCCACAATCCGACACAATTCAGCTAAATCCCCTCAGCTGAAAGCAAGTAAGAAAAAAACACCCTTCTAGCAGCTCTGTCTCCTGAACGTTGTGCCCTCAGTCCCTCTCAGCAGCGCTGCTCACCAGTCAGTGCTCTGTCTCCCCTTGGGATGGAGTAACCTGCACTGGCTCTGCAGTGAAACACGTGAGTCGCACAGCGAGGCTGTTGGCTCGCCTCGGTGTGTTTCCCACCACCAAGTGCCGTGGCGCCTGCTCCCAGGTGCCTGCCCATCGGAGGCCTGTGGAGACAGACAGAGTCCGGTGAGCACGCACCCTATGAAGAAGAAGAGAAGAAGAGATTGGATTTATCCCCCGCCCTTCACTTGGAGTCTCAGAGCGGCTTACAAACTCCTTTCCCTTCCCCTCCCCACAACAGGCACCCTGTGAGGTGGGTGGGGCTGAGAGAACTCTAACACAAACTGCTCTTTTTCAAGGACAGCTGTGCCAGAGCTTGTGACTGACCCAAGGTCACATCAGCAGGTGCAAGTGGAGGAGTGGGGAATCAAACCCGGTTCTCCCAGATTAGAGTCCACACACTTAACCACTACACCAAACTGAGGAAAGGTTAAGGCGCTTAGGGCTCTTTAGCTTGGAGAAACGACGAATGAGGGGTGACATGATTGAGGTTTATAAGATTATGCATGGGAAAGAGCAGGTAGAGAAAGAGGTACTTTTCTCCCTTTCTCACAATACAAGAACTCCCTGTGGGCACTCCATGAAATTGCTGAGCGGTCGGGTTAGAACGGATAAAAGGAAGTACTTCTACACCCAAAGAGTGATTAACACTTGGAATTCACTGCCACAGGAAGTGGTGGCGGCTACAAGCATGGACAGCTTCAAACGGGAATTAGATAAGCATCTGGAGCAGAGGTCCATCAGTGGCTATTAGCCACAAGGTATAGATAGGGACTCTGGGGAGCCATCTAACTCCCACCGTGTTCGAGGGAATGGCTCTTTCTTACACCTGCCAGTCTCTGGCCGCAGAGGCCAAAGGAGGGGCTCGCTGGTTGGTGGTTGGCCTCTGTGGCACCACTGTGGAGCTCTGCCATCAGGGCTGGTCTAGGATACACTGGCCATTGCAACACCTAGTCGGCTCCCTGAGCTCCCTCCTTCCCTCCCTCCCTCCTTCCCCCGGCTGCGCTGGTAGGGTCTCGCTTTGCATTTCTAATTCCAGAACGAGACAAAAACATAGAGCAACAGGCTCTCTTTTAAACAGTCCCGGCTTGGGAGGCCACACCCACATGTCAGCTAACAACCAATAACTATTTACAGATAAGGTCCAATCAGAGTGCTTCCCTCCAAGACATTGCGCAGCTCTGATTGGTTTATTTACAATCCTGTTTAGAACTCAAGCATAACATAGATTTCAATACATAACAGCATTAAACAGATCGTTTTTTTTAAAAAAAATGCCCAATCAGGACCAACCTTTTAAAATTCATTAAAAACTTTCCGTTAACCTAACCAAACATCAGGTTGCAGCCCCAGAAGCAAGCCAGACCTTTACACTGACTGCAAGTAACTAAAAAGTGTACGGAAGGAGAAAACTTTTATCATCCCCTATTGAAGAGCCTTACAAGAAGAATTTACTCTAGCAAAAGTAGATATTATTATTATTATTATTCCATTTCTATGTAGGCTTGCTATAAGCGTTGCAGCAGAAGGGTGAGGTGTCCGTGAAATGCGTGACTGGGCTGGGTGCACCCGTTCCTGATAACACGTGTGCTTGCTCTCCCCAAGCAGCCTGTCCTATTTAAAGACGGTGATGAGCCAGGCACACGCCGCCGGCCACCGAGGGGAGCTCTGCTGGGCCTCCGTCGCAGTGTATCAGCACTCTCTGAGCCCTCAGGTCGAGGCAGGCCCTGAGCCTGGTTCAGCTGCCAAGAAGAGGCTTGGATCAGCGGCCAAGAGGAGGCGCCTGGATGGTAAGGAGTGGTGGGACTGGAGCAGGGGAATGGAGGGAGGGGCCCGATAGCTAGTAGGGCGGGGGCTGGAGTCCTGCCTGAGAGCTAGTCTGTCTTGCTGGAGAGAGTGGGGGAAGGTTGTGCTGCTGCACAGTAAGCGGAACGATGGCCCTGTGAGGGGGGGGGGAAGGGCTGGAAAGCTCACTTGTTTGGCCTCCCTTGCCAGAGTCATCTGAACTGGGCAGCTCCAGCCTCCCCTCCGGCAGCCGCTTGCAGACTCCCCTGCTGACCTCCACAGCCCTGAAGGGAAAGCAGCCGCTCCTCATGCTCCCGGTGGGATCTCGGGAGTCCAGCTCTGAATCGGCACTGGTGCAGAGGTGAGGTGGTGGTGGCGGCGTGTAGGCTTAGGGGAGGCATGCATGAGCACGTCCGGGCTAGCAAAGAAGCCGGGGTCTGGGAAGGGAGAGCAGTGCCAGCCGCCTGCTCCTGTGCTGCCAGGGACGGGTGCCTGGGGGGGGGGGGACTCTCTCTTTGGGCCCGGGAGGTGTGACGGTGGGCGTCAGTCACACGTGTGGCGCTTTCTCTCACGCCAGCAAGCTCCCCCCCCCTTGTGCTGGCACCCACCCAGCCATGCCACTCGATGACAGACTTCTTGGGCAGAGGGTCTTCATCTCCTTGTGTTCTTGGTAGGCAGCCACCATTGACTTCTCAGCATTCCCATGACGCTCGCCAGAGCCAGCAGGATGGCAGTGGACTGGGCAGCAGGCTGGATCGGTAAGGAGGGGGGGCTGGTCTTGTGCGTTCCACCGTTCTGTCCAAGCAGGGGCACCACGGCAGCCAACAATGTACTGCAGAACGTTTTGAAGTGAAACGAAGTCCTTGGGGCCAGATGAACTGCATCCAAGGGTACTAAAAGAACTTGCGGATGTAATTTCTGAGCCTCTGTCCATTATTTTAGAGAATTCTTGGAGAACAGGTGAGGTGCCAGAAGACTGGAGGCGGTCAAATGTTGACCCCATCTTCAAGAAAGGGAAAAAAGAGGATCCGGGTAACTACCAACCCGTCAGCTTGACGTCTGTCCCTGGGAAAGTTTTAGAACAAATCATCATACAGACAGTCCTCGAGCATTTAGAAAGCAATGCTGTGATTACTAAGAGCCAGCATGGGTTTCTCAAGAACAAGTCATGCCAGACTAACCTTGTCTCTTTTTTTCCGAGAAAGTTACTACCTTGCTGGATCAGGGGAATGCTGTAGTTATAGTTTATCTTGATTTCAATAAGGCTTTTGATAAGGTCCCAGATAATATTCTTGTTGACAAATTGGAAAAATGTGGTTTGTATCCTATGACTGTTAGGTGGATCTGTAACTGGTTGACAGATCGCACCCGAAGAGTGCTTGTGAATGGTTCCTCATCTTCTTGGAGAGGAGTGACAAGTGGAGTGCCTCAAGGATCTGTCTTTATCAATGATTTGGATGAAGGGATAGAGGGAATGCTTATTAAATCTGCAGATGATACTAAATTGGGAGGGGTAGCAAATACGGTTCTGCATTTAGATAGGAAAAATCAAATGCATAATTATAGGTTGGGGGAGACTTGTCTTGGCAGCAGTGTGTGCAAAAAGGGTATCTAGGGGTCTTAGTAGACCATGCACTGAACATGAGTCAGTGGTGTGATGCGGTTGCTAAAAAGGCAAATGCAATTTTGGGCTGTATCAACAGAAGTAGAGTGTCCAGATCATGTGAAGTGATGGTATCACTTTGCTCTGGTTGGACCTCACCAAGAATATTGTGTTCAGTTTGGGGCCCCACAATTTAAGAAGGATACAGACAAGCTGGAACATGTCCAGAGGAGGGCAACGAAGATGGTGAGGGGTCTCTGGAGAGGGTGAAGGAGCCAGGTATGTTTAGCCTGGAGAGATGACTGAGAGGTCATCTCAAGTACTTTAAGGGCGGCATTATAGAGGATGGGGCGGAGTTGTTACCTCCTGTTGCCCCAGGAGGTCAGAGCAGAACCAACGGGTTGAAATTAAACCAGAAGAGTTTTCAGCTAAACATTAGGAAGAACTTCCTGACAGTTAGAGCAGTTCCTCAGTGGAACAGGCTTCCTGGGGAGGTGGTGGGCTCTCCTTCTCTGGAGGTTTTCAGACAGAGGCCAGAGGGCCCCACCTGACAGCAATGCTGATTCTGTGAACTTGGGCAGTTCATGAGAGGGAGGGCAGGAAGGGCTGCCCCAGGGCTTAGTTCTTGTGGCCCTTTCTTACACGGCCAGGGGAATGCCAACTGCTACTTCAGGGTCAGGAAGCAATTTTTGTCATCTTCTGGGCGTGGAACAGTGGTCAATGGGGGTGTGGAGGGGGAGGTATTTGTGAATTTCCTGCCTTGTGCAGGGGGTTGGACTAGATGACCCCGGAGATCCCTTCAAATTCTATGAAAATAGGAGCCACAGGCTGTGTGGGCCAAACTGGAATGAAACCATCCCTAATGCTCAGTCCCAGTTAGCATTCTGGCTGTAGCACTGTTTTGGGGAGGGGCTGTTGCTCTGGTAGAGCGTTGGATTGCAAGCAGAACTCCCAGGTTCAATCCCCATCTCCAGCAGAATCAGGGAATGCGACTCTACCGGAGACCTTTGAGAACCGCTGCCAGGCTGAGTAGACCAAATTGACTTTTGAGTATATGGCAGCTTCATGTATATCAAATGAACATTCCGAGTACTTTTCAAGGGCAGCCCCATGTAGAGTACACTGCAGCAATCTAATCTAGATGTGGCCAGGGCATGTAGTTCAGTGGCCAGGTTTTTTCTGCCCTGGAAAGGCAACAGCTGATTAACCAAAGTCGGTCAGCACTTCCACCCACCGTCACCTCCCAGGCTCAGCGTCACGACAGATGAATGTCATTTTCTGTGTGCAGCAAAAGCCCAGTCAGAATCTCTTGATGGAGTCACCTGCTGGTGGTTTTGTACAGATGTTACGTAATGTGGGTGACACAAGGCAGAACCCTGCGGGGCGCCACAGGCCCAAGTGGGCACGTCTTTGGATGGAGGCCCTTCTTCAGTTGCCCCTGCCACCTGCGGGGAGACGGCCTTCTCAGTTGTGGCTCCACATTTGTGTCTTCTGCCAGTGGCTCTGGTGTTGTTTTAATGTTCGTAATTGTTGTGAAACTTTTATGTTTCATGTGCTCTGCCTTGGGGACCCTGATCAGGTGGAAAGGCGGCATAAAAATGTTTTGAATAAATGAAACGTGTAACCTGCTCCGTGAAGCCAGGCGAACGAAGGACGCTGCCTGCATACAGGAGGGGGCCCGTACTGCTGCGGGGGCTACATCCCCCTCTCCAGGCGCCATGGGATGCTCCCCTGGCATCTGTCCAGTAGACTGGCCCTAGGCCTGACTTCTCTTGTGACGCCCATGAAGATAGGTCCGGGTGGGGCAGCCGTGTTGGTCTGAAGCAGTAGAACAAAGAGTCCGGTGGCACCTGTAAGACCAACAACCCGGGGGGGGGGCGACGACGACAACAACAACAACAACATGGGTAAACCAGTTCTGACATATTTATTACCTATGTTGTCCCCCCCCCCCAGTTGAACCCAAACAGATGATAACCAGAAACCCAACTTGTCATTCTTTTGATCTGTTTTTTAAAAATCTTCACTATGTTGCACCCCCTACATATACACAACTATGATACGTAACTCCATTTCATTGTTCAACAAAGTGTGTGTGCACAGGGAAGCTCACACCTTGAATAAAACTTTGCCGGTCTTAAAAAAGGTGCCACTGGACTCCAACTTCGTTCTCTGACAACCTTTAGCTTTGGAGACAAAACAGCTGGGCCGGTCTTTGGCCTCTGACTCCAACATGGATGCACGGCCCCCAAGAGTCTGCTATGCCGTGTGGAACAGTCCTTCAGTCTGCCGAAGCCCTTTTCCTTTTGGCAAGGGGTAGGGGACTCTCAGAGAGAATAACCAAGCCTGTCACGGTTTTGGCAGAGAGGCGCCAGCACCTGGCGGTTGTTTTTTAAAATCCAGGTAGTGAAATGGCGAGAGAGGGGAAGAGGTCGGGGTGAGGAAGGACACCTGAACTGGCCTCAGCATGGCTGGTCGCTATTGATGGGCTTCTCTCTAGCATGCTTATAAGTAAGACACGTAACCCGCTGGGTAAAAAAAACAGAAAACTGGCTGGAGCGGAGCGGCCTCAGGGCCCCTGCTGGAAACAAGGTGTGTGCGTGATGGGCCTAGAAACTGTCCAGCATCTCACGTGCAGGCGGCAGCCAGAGCAGGGTGCGGGGGACTGACTCCGTTCTTTCTCTGCCAGCTCCCAGGAGGGGACTAGAGAAGAGCAGTGAAGGTGACCAGAGGGGGTGCTGGGGGGGGGGTCTCCTCTGAGAACCTGGAATGGACGTTGCCAGGGAGACCCAGTGCGCAGGGGCCTGCTGCCTCTGGAGAAGGTGCCTGGGAAAGGGCAGCAGGGAAGAGCTTGCAGCCCTGAACGCCAGACCTGACTCCAGAGTGTGACGGCCGCAGTGCAGCCCAACGAGGTCCCAGTGCAGGACGGGTCCCCTCCCTCCCTCCCTCCCTCTCCTCTGCCCAGCTGCTGAAACCAGGTTGTCCTGCTCACCCCCTGCAGGCTGATTCTGATGGAGGACGAAGAGGAAGTGGAGGAGCAAGAGACAAGCGGGGAAGAGGAGGAGGTGGAGGCAGTAAAGCTCCTGGGATGAGGCGGCTGCAGCGCTTCTCGGATCGGAGGAGGGTGAGGATGAAGCCAGAGGAATCTCTAGGTTTGGTGGGGGGGAGGGGCTGTGGATGGCTCAGCCCCCCCTTTGCTCAGCAGCCACTCAAGAGTCTTCTTGGCCGCGGCCCCCAGCTTCTTGATGTAATCATCTTCAACATTCACGTGGCGTTCCTGTCTTCCAGAACTGCACCTCACACCCATTCCCTTCTTACCCTCACAACCACCTTTTGACGGAGGCCACCGTTCTGTTTGGGGTGGGGGCCGAGTGGGTCTCTGGCCTAGTGGGGCTGCGGAGGAGTGGCTTGTTGTCCCTGGGAACCTCCCTCCTCCTCTCCTGAGCGCCACCCTTGC